ATGAGGGGTCTGGGGTGGCATCCCCTCCCACCCCACTCCAGACCCCTCATAGCCCCCCCTTCTGATAGTCCGGCATATCTGATAATCCGGCACCCCCTGGGTCCTAAAGGTGCCGGATTATCGGAAGTTTACTGTATCTTGTTTGCAGCAATAAATACGTGGTGCGTCAGAGGAAGGACTAACATACTGTTCCGTGCTGAACACTAAAGGAATTTCTTCCTGACTTCTGCAGGCAGGCAGTTTAGGAGACTAAAGTTTGAGAGTTAGTTACACTTAGTTTTTAAAACTGATCTAAGCAAACAGTTTAAAAACTGTTTCACATCTGCAAAGTGCTTCATTTTACAGGTACATTAATGAGGGTCTCCTAAAAGCATGGCCATGATCTTTAAAACACTTAGTTTTGTCCTATTTAGAATAAAATTATACTTCAGATAAAAGGCAATATCTAATATGTCATTGAGTAATGGGCACTGAGATCCTAATTCATTAAAGCATCTGGGTCCAACAAAAAACTTAAGTAGGTGCTTATGATTCAGAAGCTTTTTTTTTTTAAAAAAAAAAAAAAAAAGAAAGGAAGGTTTATAGCCTGGGGCAGATTTGGGAAAAGAAAATGAGAGGCCACACTTTCCATTAAAGCTATGGCTTGGTCAAGGCAATTTGTGTACTGATAATTATTTTGATTTAGTGTATGCTTTTTAAAAATCAAAGTAAGTATACCAATACAATCAAAGTAAGTATACCAATACTGTGGATGTAGCTATACCCGTATAGAAGCACCTTTTACAAATATAGTCTATTTCTCTGTGTGTATGGGAAGGAGTTGTACAGTACCACTATAAAAGTGTACACCGGTGCAAATGCATCCATTTGGAGAATAGAGCGGGAAGTGGTTGTTGTGGACGTGGCCTGTTTTCACTAATATAAATTACCATTTGACTTCTTAAGCTATAATGCTATTGCAGAAATATAGTATCTCATTGGCTGAAACACCAATCAAGCAATACACATTGACCTTGAAGCATGTGACTGAAGCCAATGGAACTACTCACATATTTAAAGCGATGCACATGGTTTAAAGTGTTGCTCGATCAGATCTTAATCTCAGTGCAAATTAAACAATTTTCAATTATTATTACTGATTTCAAGTACCCGTCTGTGCCTTTCTCTGTCTTTGCACTTCTCTCGCACCCAGTCAATGGTGTGAAAGTCATCATATGTTCCAACCCCAGGAATGGGTTCATCCAAGAGGTCCAGTAAGTGTGTCGAACTATTAATGCTTCCTCCATTTGTCATTGTATAATGAGTTCCTGTGGGAGAGAAAGGATGAAAAATTATAACATTCTGCAACTGAATTACTGTCTGAATAAACCTTTTTCCAAAAGTGCTCAGTTTAATAAAAAAAATGTATATACCATCTCTTTTTGGGGGTGTTACTGCTTGTAAGGGGTTATTTTTTATTTTTTTTCCAAGTCACCACCATCTTTCTAGACTTTTTTTTTTTTCAAATTAGTAGCCTGTTCAAATGTATTTGTGTAAAAGACTCAGGAAGCAGAAAATAATCAATAATTCCAGTAAGTGTTCAACTAATTTATCATTGCAATTGATTTGTATTGATAAAGCACCCCAAGGCTCTTGTCCCAAATCGGGCCTAGAAACAGTGTGAACACATAGCATGAGACAGTTTGTGCCAAAAGCACTACACTTGGCCTTAGCCATCAGACCACAAAAGTTTCTTATTTTAAATATGCATGTAAGCAGGGGCTGAACTACTGCTTGCAATCAGCCAGCAGCCCCAGGGGTCGGTATGCTCACTCAGATTGTTTAGCCTTGCAAGATAAATAACTGTTGATATGTAAATACAGCTTATGCTGGGATGGGGAAGGAATCCGGGATGTGGTTATGTAAATCCAATTCAGTCAGGGCTGATGGAGGATCGGTTGTTAGAATGGAATGTGATGTACTGTAACTAATTTGGGCTGTTGTGGGGTGTGACCGTGCACCCCTCGGTCTGGTCCGGGGGCCGGCCAGCTTCTCTTTAAATGGGGTGATCTTGCCCCTCACGTTGGGGTTTTGGTTGTAGTTTCCTTCTCCTCGGGCGGGGGAAGGAAGGGGGGCCCGGGCCCGCCCTCACTCTTGGGCCCCAGCCCAGGGCCCTAAGGACTGAGACTGTGCCCCAGTCTCGATCCAGCTGACGGGGTCGTGCCCCTAAACGCGTCAGCCCACGGGCTGTTTCACCGCCCTGCCCTGGGCTACTTCCTTCCTCCCCCCCTCCTCAGGGCCATCGGTACTCATGGCGTCTGGGCGCCCCGGAAAGGCAATCACAGGAGCATCCACGTCTCGCTTCTCTCTGGCGAGTCCGTGCCGTCCGCGAGTCTCTCCCTCTCTCCGGTGGCCAGCAGGGTTTTAAAGTTCCCGCCGGGCTGGGGGTTTTACGTGCCCCGCCCCCACGCCGTCTGACCCGGTGCGTCACGCCTTCCCATCTCACCAGCGGGGCTGGGGCGGGCTCAGCTGTTCCGCGGCGTTCCTCCAGCTGAGCCGTGGCATTCAGCTGAGCCGCGGCTCGGGAGCAGCCGGCACACGGCCGGTACCCGTCCCGCAGCCTTTCTGAGAGGGCGCAGGTTCCCTGGTGCGGGGTCTCTGTACCCCGTCACATGGGGTCACAAATCATGCTACCCCTAAATGTGGGAACAGTAAAATATGACACCAGTATTTGCAAAAGAGATAGCATCATTGTGAAAGGTCTCAGATGAACAAGCCTCCCCCTTCCAGAGTTAAGTGAACTGGGGGGGAGAGGGGAGGAAGGGGCTTGAGCCAGCCTGCTTCATGCCTGCCAGGTGTGAGCTGTGAGACTGGTTCAATCTGCCTCTTTCTCCCTTGTTTTAAGGATAGACCTAAAGCAGACTCCATCAGGAGTCTTTTTGCTAGTCCAGTAGAAGCTGGAATCTTTTGCCAGCCTAGGTGGTGGCTAAAGAGCTGAAATCACTAAGAGCTGAAGTCACTGGTTTGGCCTGGAGCTAGACCCATTGCAGCCAGCAAGATTGCTGGCAGGAGCTGATAGGAGAGGCAGGAGGGGGGGGGGGCGGGGGGGGAGGGCCCACCGGTGGGCGGCTGGTAGGAGCGGCGTCAGGCGGTGCCAGCGGACCACAGGAGCAACACAAAGGTGGCATGGCCTCAGGCTCAATGAGTGGAGTCATCAGGGTGATGCGTCAGGGTCCGCACTGACTGGACATAGTTGTAAGTGGGGCGTTTGAAGTGGGGTACAGAGAAAGTTTGGGTAAATGAATGGAACCCTTACATTGTTGGACTAGTGAGCCTGAGGGGCAAAGGACATTGCTCAATCCATTTGAGCTGGGACGGTTACTCGTGGGGGGTTAGGAACTATGTTTTTGGTATTTTTCCAAGCTAATGCTGTGTAACTTCTCTCCCTCTTTCATTAAAAGTTTCTTTTCTACACTTAGACTCTGTGCTTGCCAGTGGGGAAGCATTGCCTCTCAGAGGCACACAGGGGTGTGTGACTTTTCCAGACTACTGGGTGGGGGCTCGAGCCGGGTCTGTGTGTTCTGCCTGAAAGGGGTTCCTCTCCAAGTGAATCTGTGATAAAATTTTCATATCTGATAAGAGGGACATTATCTCAAGCATGTTAAAATAAAAAAAAAAAAAAAAACACTACACAATTTTCATTTAATTATCTCAAGCATGAAAAAAAAAAAAAAAAAGACAGCTGTTTCGAATACATGTTTTGTCTCAACAGTGAGTTTTAAAAGTAGTTTCCAACTGACTACATTTTAAGTTTACAATGTCCCTTTAAGATAACCATTATTTCTTGCCTACCTCGATTACAAATGTCTCATCACCAACAGTTATTGTAAAACAGGCACTAGTAATGATAAAAGTGATAAAAAACCAGAGGGCTGTTTTTAATGGAATTCCATGGATAGAGATGGCAATAGTCAAGATTCTAGAATGCTTACCACAAACTTGTGTCTCTTTAAAAATTTATCTTTCTTTTTTATTTTATTCTGAAAGACAGATGAGGCAGCAGTAACAGATAGAGCCACATCAACTTTAATGTCCCCCCCAGCAATTTGCTTCCATCTTGTCCTTATAGTAGTTTCTCTGCCTTTGTCATAATCAGCTCTTATTGGCCTTCCCACCACATCCTATGATACCCCCAACTCTCCACTTTGAACTGTTTTAGCTAGGGTTGCTATCTCCCCCAGACTGGACAGACCGAACGCCACTGCAACAAATGGTGTCCGGTTAAGAGAGCTGGCAACCCTAATTCCAGCTTTCAATTAGGGCAGTTTTGAAGCAGCATTTACTCTCCCTGCCCATTGGTAAAATGTTAATGAACTGAAAATACTAAAAAAATAAATTGAGGTCCAGATTAGATCCCACCTATAAGGAAGTAAGGTTGAGAAAGACATGATACACAATTGTAATACTTAATTTAGTTCTCAAATTATATTAGTACAGGCAAACCCCGAGTTACGCGGATCCGACTTACGTCGGATCCGCAGTTACAAACGGGGATTTTCTCGCCCTGGAGGACTGGAGCGGCGGGACACCCAGATGCGCTGCAGTCCCACCGCCCCCGTCCTCCGGGGCGAGAAAAGCTGCTCCACGTCTCCCTGGTCTGCCGGAGCGGGAGGGGGGCGCTAGCTTCGTGTCTCCCTTGTCTGCTTGGGGGAAGCAGCTAGTGCGGGGCTGCCTCACCCCGTTTGTAAGTAGGGATCCGATGTAAGTCGGATCCATGTAACCCAGGGACTGCCTGTATACTTTAGAGTGTGTCTATCTGCAAGATCATTTGTTCCTAAACAGTAAGAGCTGGGGCCACCAAATTCAGTAGGCAGCTTCCTCTTCTCCTAGCAAGGTCGGGATTTGATTGTGCCAGGACAACCGGAAGCCTGGGAAAAGGAAAGCTTTCCATAACATGAAGAGGGAGGATCTGCTGTTCGAAGGGATGTGATCTAAGACCCCCAGGTCGGCCGCTGCTGAAACTGACCAGTGGCTGACTACAGGAAGCCCGAGGCAGAGTTGCTCTGCTCCGGGCTTCCTGGAATCAGCTGCTGATCAGTTTCAGCAGCAGCTGACTTGGGGACGCCTGGGGTTCTTAAGTTGAATCTGTATGTAAGTCGGAACTGGTGTCCAGATTCAACAGCTGTTGAAACTGATCAGTTTCAGCAGCGGCTGAATCTGGATGCCAGTTCCGACTTACATACAAATTCAACTTAAGAACAAACCTACAGTCCCTATCTTGTACGTAACCCGGGGACTGCCTGTAATGCAACAAATGATAAAATAAATTATGTAAATTATTATTTACACAAAATGAATCTTAAGGCAACGGGACACAATTTATAATTATTCAACAGCTATTAACATATTAATCTACTATAGTATTTCACTGAGAAAGTAAATTACCAAAACTGCTTAAAACACTGCATAAATTGTTGAGGGTCAAAGTTCACTCATCTTCCTGGATAATTTGACTGTATTTACAGAACAAATTCAAAATTTATCACGCAATTTAGTAGGAGCTTCTCCCCAAGTTACTCTCACAATTCCTTTTGTCTTCACCACAAATAAGGTGTATTTTTGATTCAAGATAGTGTATGGCACAGGCTTTAACTTGACCAGCTAACTTGGATAAAAAATGTTAAAATTATAGTGGAGACAAGCTACAGAATTCTAGTTAAACATACATTCTTTTAAAGTGAAGACCTGAAATCAGCTCAGTATACATGATAGGTCCTCTCTCACCTGATCTATACCCATCTGCAATAATGGCCAATCTGCAATCATGTGTCAGCAAAACTAATTTAGCATTTTTCTGACAGGTTAGTTTTCAAGGAAAGCCTGTAGCCTGTTAGATTTATCGTAAAAGCTATAAAAAAACTCAGAAGTTCTATACATTTAGCAAAACAATTCAACACGATTTACAGATTTGTTCAGCCTGTGAAGCAAATAAAAGCCGTTTAATAGTGTTGCCATCTAATAGGCTCACTTCTTTAACAGCTTTTCAATACAGAGGATATCTTCATGATGCAGGAAGGTGGAATCTTATCTTGCATTTTTCTTCAAAGAAAGCTTCAATTTGAGGAATACAGCGATGAAGATTTTGGCCAACTTTAATTATTAACATTACCCCATAACTGGTCTGAACTGCTTATTTCTGCTGCTTTTTATACTAAGCAAGATGATTATGGGCAATTATTTACATTATACATGCTTCAATTATAAGAATAAAGGTTTAAGTAAAACATAAAGAGGAGATATTTTTATCTTCTTCAAAACTTGTCTAACC